GAGCATGAAGGATGGACAATGTTCGGGGATTTTAGATTGGGAACACAACAAAACACTAACACTCAGGGATTTGAGAATAGTTAGACGCCTGCTAATATCAATGATTCGTTTTTAGATCGAATCAATGAATTGTTAAACAAATTCAATCAATGGCACCAACGTGACCAAGAAGAACAATAACGTCGTCTATCATTTTATTTTTAGATCATATGTTACTAATTTTATGCTTTATTGTAGTCCATGTATGTTGATATACTTATTCCATGATAATTCTATATTTATCTTTTTGTGTGATGTAAAGTAAATGCTGAATGGCGGTTCATGCAGGGAAAGAACATATCAATATTCGCATATTCATTCAAAAACATGAAAATTCTTAATGGAGTACCCTCGTTTCTTATTGAATTCCTAAAAAAAATATTTATAATGAATTTTAATAATTTTTTTGAATTTTTTTTAAACTTTATTCTGAACGATTCACCCGATTCCCGATCCGAATCGCCGATTCACCCATCCGAATCGGTTTTTAGAAACCCAATCCGGGTCACCGATCCGTTTTTTAAACCATTGACATAAACTATAACAAATTTCTACATAATTTTCCCAACATTTTATGAAGTACATGTCAGACCACATCATTTTTCCCATGGTATAAAACACTTGTGAGGTACTTCATTTTCTAAAGTGCGTGTAAGGCCACATCAATTTTCCTAGGAAAAAATAGACTTGCCACCTCAATTTTCGCCACATTTTCCCTAGGAAATAGAAATTTGAAAACCGTGAACCGCTGTTTTATACTTGGCATGACCCGGAAGAACCGCTGTTTCATACTACATAACCGGGTACGGACCGGCTCCACCTAGGCGGTAGGGGGCATGGCCGGATTTCAATATACTGCAGGATTCGAATCATTATGAGCGATTTTTAATGTAGATTAGGCGATATCGATCATGATCACGGAATTTTCAAATCCTGGTATATTCAGTGATATTCTTACAAGCATCTATTTTGAAATTTAAATGACAATAATAATTGTCACTTCCCTGTACAAAACATAAATAGTTTTTTTATAAACAATCCTATTTTTTTAAAAAAATAAGGCTTGTATTACCCATTGATCTATTAAAAAAAAAAAAAGTTAGAATGGGTTCGGTTATACCATTGCCTATTGCCGAGCAGAATTGGGCCAAAATAGAGCAGGCCAGCCCAGCCCTATATTTTTCCTTTATTTTTCATTCTTTAATCTTTGAGTCTAGTAAACCAGGTGCGGCCCATACTAGGCCTAGCCAGGGGACCCTTGGCCCTATCCACACTGGGCTGGACTCAAACCAGATGCGGAGGGACCTAGGCAGGCCTTGCTTGGACCAACCACTTGTCAACCTATTATGAAATTGGAAGAAAATTGGTGAGAATAATCTAAGAATGATGACTAGGTGTATGGAGAGAGAACCCGATGTGATTTTAGACCAAAAGAAAAGGCCAAATGGGTTGCGTTGAGGACCAGATAAACCAGATCAGTTTTTCATCGGGCAAAATTAGGCGTGGCATGTATCATTTGAAATCTTATTCATCAAACAACCCTTTCTCTCTCCCATTAAAAAGATCCCTATAAAATGATGAATTTCTAGATCTCTAGAATTCCAGGTTCAATGAAACGCAAGTTCCTATACTTCCAAAAACTCTGCATAGGTTGTCGGACCGGTATTTTTTGTTTCCAGACATCAAAATATATGGCTTATAGAGGTTCAGAACATCCAGATCCCAAAGAACTTACAGTGTCCAGTTATCAAATAGGTTGCAACAAAGGTTGAAAATGGTTTAAAACCTAGATCTGCCAATTGAATTTGCCACTTTAACATCTCAGTGATCTAGCAAAAAATTAAGAAGATAAAAAGCAAAGCAGTTGATAAGAGCCATCCATTAGGAATAATATAAATTAGAGGTGATCGGGCTATTTCTTAATATGGATTGATTGATTCTGATTAGGATCGACAATTTTAAACCAAAATTTAGAGTTGGCCATGGGTCAGGCAGCCCAACCCTAAAAAATATGGCCTCGGCCACAAAATGTGACTTTAGGGCCAGGCTAGGACCAGTGGTGGCCTGAATTGTCCCAACCCTCTTTTTTCTTGTTTTTTCTATTTTCTTGTTCCAGGCTAGGACCAGTGGTGGCCTGAATTGTCCCAACTCTCTTTTTTCTTGTTTTTTCTATTTTCTTGTACTTTTTTGTTAAAAGAAAATTCCCGGTCTGACATAGCTTTATGGGGTGCAAGTTAGTGAAGATTTAAGCCCCAACCCTTTGGTGAGAATGGAATCAGAGACTTTATCATAAAACTGGTTGGTACTACCACCAAGGCCCTTACTGCCCCAGTGACATAACAGCCCCGCCCATTGCCATCACCATAAATTTATTGCTTTTAAAAGCGAAGTGTAAACACATACTATCCAACTAATTAGGGTTTTAAATGATAAACGTTCACATTAAGAACGACTCAGGGCTGTAATGTGGTCGGTTATATCCCCCAAATTAACATTGTAGTGTCCCTCAAGCATTCTCACATTCATTTCCCCTTTACTCACTTGCCACGTCTCTCTCCCATCCTAGTGTTGCGCTTCAGGGCTGAAGCGTTCAAATTTTATGCCTAGACCTGATGCATCCACTTGAATCATATTAAGTTTGTTTCGAGTCGATTTGGCCGAAGCTATTGCCTCTCAAGCTTAAACAAAGAAATATTTATATCAAATTATTTTATTTATTATTAATTTTTTTAAAATTTGTATTTTAAAATTTTCCATTATTTTTATATAAATATCTAATTTATTTATATTAAATTAAAAAAATCTAAAATCTTCTCCCGAATAAACCAAAGCATCAAACTGTTTCATTTTTCTCACCAAACCGAATAAGAGTTCAAAACGAATCTAAAAACAAAATTTGGGAAGAAAATTTCTTAGTGGACACGTCTCACTCTTTCTCTCATTCTCTATCATTTTTCAATTTTATCCAAATATTAGCCCGCCACCAATATTTCTTCCCAACATGGACAGATGTGATGAGCAGAAATTCAAACCATCAACATCATCCATTATAGGCATCAAATAATGGGTGGCAATAATCATCATCATCGTCCAAACCTTATCTCAATTATTTTAGTTCGGCTAATAATCTCTTATAAAAATTTCCTTGGTTCTATATTAAATTATTTTATCGTACGCATTAGTAGAGACTGCATACAACATTTCCTATGATTTCGACTTTCAAACATCTGGCATCACCCATTTAAAAGAAATTATTATCTACGATCAAGATCTTGTTCTAAGTCAAAATATTAATCCAGGCTCAGGTATGTTTGTGAGGAAACATCCGAGCTCAGGAGTATCTTAAGGACCCCAAAGTTTTGGACATGTAATCACTTATCTTAAGCCAACTCCCTAACTTAAAAATGAAAACTTAAATAAATAAATAAGAGAAAAAAATTTAAAATCTCGATGTGCCAGAAAAAATCAAACCTTCAAAGATTGAACAGGAACCATCAAATTTTTAAAGGGCAAGATCTACGTGTTCAAGAGCCCTCTCACCCTTTGATTTCTAAAAATATTATGGGGGTGGTTCTTAGACAGATCCCAAATTTATAAATAAAAATGTCCTCCCAAACAATTATTTTGCCCCTAGGGAGTAAGTGTAGGGTATGCTCTGAGTGGCATGCTGTACATGCATTTTGCATAAATACATATTTTGTGTAAAGTTTAAGGCTAGGTCAAGGTCAGTTTTGGCCTGGCAAGAAACTTGGTTGAGCCTAGGATAAGCCTGGCCTAGTTCTGGCATGGCTAGGCTAGGCCTACGGGTGGTCTTAACTCCAGACTTGTCCCATCCAATATGCCCTAGCCTAGTCCATGTGGCTACCCTAATGGAGGTATAAATGATGGTAGTAGGCACATAATAGTTGCTACTACTGGCAAAAGTAATAACAAAATTTATCTAAATACCTATTGGAGATGAACGATTTAACATTTTACCCATTTGTTTTGATTTAATCTTAAAATAACTATAAATACATATTGTCTTGAGTTGTAATAACTTTAAATGGGTAAATAGCCTATCCCTTATAAGTATTTTGATAAAAATTTTGAATAAAAAGAGAGGTTCACACATGTCTCTCTCACACACACACATGCAATGAACATTATCAATTGAATGTTGCTTACTAATACAAATGCCAAAAACATGGTTTTTTAGAAATGTGGTTGCATTATACTATGATACAACCGTTGCATGAAATTATTGCCCTAAAAAGAAATAGAGAGAAAGAAGAGATAAACCTAAACAGAAATATAAAGATAAAAGAGATAAATATAGATGTGAAAGAAAACAAATATAAACAGAAGAAGAAAATGGTTCGTGGGATTTCGATAACAGTATAACATCGGTTAGTTTTTATGGTACTGTAATATATATGGGTTTACGATATTTTGAGTGCCATATAACATGGGTTAATTTTTACGATACTTAAATTGTTGTAATACATGGGTTAATTTTTACGGTACTTAAATTGTCCTATAATATGTGTTAGTTTTTACGGTAGGTAAAGTACCATTATTGTGATAATGTCTTCAAAATTGAACAAAAAGAGTGTGGGCGAGATTTAGAAATGTTTTTTTTTTTTTCATAGATGAAAATTGAGTAAGATTTGTGATAAATTCTCATTTATTTATTTTAGTATATGTTAATTTGCATTTCTAGGTCGTGGTGAGAATTTTCACATATTTCCGGCATCTCCAACTTAAAGATTGAGCGTTTTGACTTGGGCCAAAAAGGTACTCGTGAGCGTTGATATCCCACGAGAGTATACGTGCCTATTTTTCCCTGACGAAAGCGTGGGGTATTTTTGTCAATTTACGGCCGTAGGGGAACGTATACTGCGGCCGTTGCGCAATTCGTAATATTGATGGGCATTTAAGTTATTTTCCCCGCATAAAAACTCCGTCCGCACGATTTTCGGATAAGGCCAGCCTGGTGTGATGCCACGCGCAATTCCTCCTCTCCCCCTCTCACTCTCTCTCTCTCTCTCTCTCTCTTCGCTGCCATCACCCTTCTTTTCCTCTCCCTCTTCTCCTGGAGAAGAGTCTCTGCCCTCCTCTCTCTCTCTCTCTCTAAGCCCTGCCGCTCCTCTGAACCTCTCTCATCCACTATTTTCACTGTTTGTTAAAAAAATATTACCCCTCGCTCTCTCTCCATTGATTTGATCTCCAGGCAACCGTCAGATAGTTTTTTTTCTAGTTATTACCTTCTCTCTCCATGAGCACAATCCCCCTCAAGGCCTAGCCCCTCCGGACTCTCATCTCGTTCGTTCCTCTCTCTAACCCTAATGGAAACCCTAGCTGCAGTAGTGACGCTTGGCCTCCTGGCAGCCGGCCTGTACTGGTTCGTGTGCCTGCTGGGGTCTGCCGAGCAGAAAGGGAAGCACGCCTCGGAACTGAGCGGTGGCTCCCTCGGTAGGGAGCAGGTGGCGTCGACCTACCGGCAGTACTGGACCTTCTTCCGTAAGCCCAAGGAGATCGAGCATGCCGACCGTGTCCCTGACCTCGTCGACTCCTTCTACAACCTCGTCACCGATATTTACGAGTGGGGCTGGGGACAGAGTTTCCACTTTTCCCCATCTTTGCCTGGCCACTCTCATGCGGCCGCCACCAGGGCCCATGAAGAGATGGCTGCAAACCTCCTGAAACTTGGTCCAGCGATGAAAGTTTTGGATGCGGGCTGCGGAGTTGGAGGGCCGATGCGCACGATTGCCACGCACAGTGGCGCAAATGTGGTCGGGATCACTATCAATGAGTACCAAGTCGGGAGAGCTCGACTCCATAATATCAAGGCAGGGCTTGATAAGCTCTGCGAGGTTGTCTGTGGTGACTTTCTCCACATGCCCTTCGACGCTGAGTCCTTCGACGCCGCATACTCAATCGAGGCAACATGCCATGCGCCAAAGCTCTCAGAAGTTTATGCCGAGATCTTCCGAGTTCTCAAACCCGGAGCCCTGTATGTCACGTATGAATGGGTCACGACACCAAAGTTTCAGCCCGACAATTCCGAACATTTGGAGATAGTTCAGGGGATCGAGAGGGGGAACGCTTTGCCAGGGCTGAGGAGGCAGGACGAGGTCGCCGAGATCGCCAAGGGCGTGGGATTCGAATTGGTGGAAGAGAGGGATTTAGCTTTGCCCCCTGCTCTTCCCTGGTGGACGAGATTGAAGATGGGGAGGGTCGCGTATTTTAGGAACCATGTGGTGGTGTGGGTGCTCACCATGGTCAGGATCGCACCCAAGGGGGTCGACGATGTCCACGAGATGCTCTTTCACACCGCCCACCATCTCACTCGGGGCGGACAGACAGGGATCTTCACGCCGATGCACATGATCCTGTTGAGGAAGCCCAACAATGCGGCACCCGCCTGCTAGTTTGCCACCATTGTTCTCTCTCTCTCTCTCTCTCTCTCTCTCTCCCACATAAACCCCTGTTTCTATCTCCTTCTCTCCTGTCTTCTTTGGTTTAACCCTTGACCGCTCTAAGTTTTGTTTTGGGTTTTTAGGATTATGCTTCAATCCTCTGCTGTAGTTTTATTTATTATGTTTAATTTTCTAGTTTTTCTTATTATTCTTATTATTCAAAGCCTTCCTTTTTTCTGCTTTTCTGGATTATCCGTAGCTTTTATTATTGCAGATTTTTTTATTATTAGAAGTCTTCATTTTTCAGCTTTTCTGGATCATTGGTCTGAGCTGGTCAGGGGATTGGGATTTGTTAGGGGTCTGAGCTTTCAGTTATAGAACCCCGATATTGATCTATTAAGGAATCTTTGCATATTGATCTCTTAAAGAATCTTTAAGACCAGTACATATATCCAGCCCAGTTATAGCGAGATACACAATCAAGAGATACATATCCAGTACACCTTACATATCTATATATACAATATACAATGCACGTACATGCAATAATATTCACATCCCACATCCAGGATGTTAGATCTGGGTTGGTTCTCTTCTAATTGAAGATGGAAAACAGTTGGAGATGGCTTCTCTCAATCTGCCTTCTGAAACTGATCAGATGTGTATTATATAATTGGGCTCATTTTCTTGATGGGTTTCATTATTGCAGAGCTGTATTGCTTCTTTTTGATCAACCATGAACTATTTTGCTTCTTCGCCTCTTTTTTTTTGCCTACTTGTTTTTTTTTCTTTTATTTGGGTTTTTTTGGCAAAGATTGATAGTTTTAGATCCATGTTCATATCCTGTATTTATTTGCTGGCATTTAATTGAATTGGGGAACATTTTGGAATGGATAGGTCTTGATATGTCTGGTGCACTTAGATATTTATTATGGGAAAGTATAGAATGAGATCATTTACCTTTACTACATGGTATTCACATTAATCTTTGACTATTGGACACATCCATTGGATGTGAAATTGGGTGGCCGTAATTATTCCATTGACCAAGTTCAAACTTCAAAATAATTTTTTTTGTACATTGTGACACATTCAAGCTATCAAATTTCACATCGGATGGTTGTAAATAATTGTGATCGCCTTGTGTAAAAAATAAATGATTTCATTGTATACAATCCCATTGATCTGACGTGTTTCTCAGTTCGGTTATAAAATATATTTCTTACTTACATTGTGTTTGATCCTGAAGCTCTACTTCTTACCCGTGATATTGGGTTAGATTTATTCTCTGTGCTCAACTTGCTTTCATCCTTCTCCTCAAAAGGGGATTAGAGACTGGGCTTAGGGATTTATTTTGGTTTAAGGCCTCTGATTTTTTACAGTGGCTTGTTTTGGTCTTCATGGCTCAATCTCTTGTTGTAACAAGCCCTGGGTTCTTTTGTGTTTTGGCAATTATTTTAAGCAAGATGTGGGGATCTGTGTCTCCTTTTTTTTTTTGTGTGTTGTACTTTTGTGACCTCGTATGATTTGTGTCTCCTTCTTTGTACTGCTGAGGTGTAGATTCCATTCCTTTTTATTTTTTATATTGCAACTTTGTGAAGTCCGAGAAGGCGTCTTTCCTTCACTCGTTTTCTTCCTTTATTCCCTTTACTCATGGGATCGTTTCATTATTTGGAAATACATTTCCAGAAATACTTTTAAGCGGAGATGGCACATTTTTTTGTGTTTGGATTGAAATTTTGAGACTAAAAGGTATTTAAGTCTGTAATTATTTTTCTCCTTTCCAGTTAAAAATAAAAAGGAAATGTTTAATAACGGTTGCAACCTTAAAATGTAGAATCACATATGCACTTCAAAAATCTATCGAAAATATTGTTTTAATATTGAAAAAACCCTTTAATCAATTATCTCTACATCGAGATGTATGAAAATAAAAAAAAACAAAGTTTTTGAGTCCCGAAAATAGTGTATCTTGCAATTCGTTATCTAGACCGTCTATTTTCAAGATTTTTATATATTTATAGATCTACTTGATTTTAATCATTTTTGGAATTTAAAATTTTCTAATTAGGTATGAAAATATATTTTAAGATAATACTAAGAATTTTTTACAACAAAATTACATGTTATGATAAAATTTTAAGGTGCGTCTTAATTGGATTGTTTTGGATTGTTTACCATTGTAACCTTATAGAAACCTCACCCAAAATAAAGAAATATATATCATTCTTTACCCTGAAATTGACTTCGAGCCAGATTTCTCCATTGCGAAGAAATATATATCATTCTTTACAAAATACAATTATTTCCACAAAAACACCCACATGAATTAGAGAGAGAAACTCTCAAATTTTATTTAGAGAGACAAAGTACCTTAATATTTTTAACAGAAACTATTTCTAATTTTGGAGAGGAAAATTATAAAATTTTTAGAAAAAAATTATCTCAAAGTTTTTATAGAGACTATTTTCAAATTCTAAGTTTTAGAGAAAGAAAATGTCTGAAAATTTTAGAAAGAGAAACTATATCAAATTTTATATAAAGAGGTATCTAGAAACGTTTTAGATAGAGAAATATCTCAAAATTTAAATTTGAGATAGAAAAAGTACATAAAAATTTTAAGAGAGAAAACTTATTTCAAATTATAAGTTTTATAAACAGAAAGTACTTGAGTTTTTAGAGAGAAAAACTATTTCAATTTTTATGTTTTGTAAAGATAAAGTACCTCAAAATTTTGATAGAAGCAAACGATCTCAAAATTTTAAGAGAGGAAAACTATTTCAAGATTTAAGTTTTAGAGAGAGAAACTATATTAAAATTTTAGAGATAAACTATATTAAATTTTAGATCGAGAAGTACTTAAGAAGTTTTAGAGAGAGAACGTATTTCAAAAAATTTAGAGAGAGAAATTATTTCAAAATTTAAATTTTAGAAAGGAAAAATACTTGAATTTTTTTAAAGACAAACTATCTTAACATTTTTAAAGAGAACTATCTCAAATTTTAAGTTAAAATGGGAGAAACTATCACAAAAAATTTAGAGAGATAAACTATCTCAATTTTAAATTTTATAAAGAGAAAGTACTTGGAAATTATTGATAGATAATATAGAATTTGCGATAAAGTAAACAATGAAGAGTGAGAGAAAGATCAACACGAGATATAGGTTGTTCAGCAATGGTGCCTACCTCCACGGAGGGAAAACCAGTATTTTATTTATAGGGATTGCCCAGAAGTCTCTTGAAACAACACACATCTTCAAGAGGTTTCCTATTTGTTGAATTAAGTTTGCAATACTATTAACAGGGGTATCAACAAGTTTGACTCCTAGTTTTGTAGTTTCTTTCGATAGGTCTAAGACATTTCCTTTAAGAAATGAATAGTCATTTTTTCTTTAATGTGCTACTTCAATAACAAGAAAATACTTTAGTTGATCAAGGTCCTTGACGTCGAATTTCTTGTGAAGATAATATCATCAATATAGATGATTACAACCGTTGTACTTAAAGTTCTCTTTTTTATGAACATCAAAGAATCAGCGGAATTTCTAAAAAACCCGACACACATCAAAGCTGAACTGAGTTGGCATACCATGCCCGAAGTGATTGTCTAAATCCACCAAGGCCTTCTTTAATTTGCATACAAGACATTTTCTCATTTTCTTTAAAATGGCCTGAAAGAAGACTCATAGAGACTTCTTCTTCAAAGTCACCATGTAAGAAGACATTTTTAACATTCATTTGATGCAAAGACTACCCACAATTAACTGTGATAGACAAAAGAACACAAATACTATTCATCTTGGCAACTGGTGCAAAAGATTTTTTATAGTCAACTCCATAAGTTTGGGTAAAAAAATTTTTAAAAACACATCACTATTATATTTAATTTTAAAAACACATCTTCATCCAACTGCTTTCTTCTCTTTAAGTAACTTGACAATGTCTCAAGTATGGTTCATGTTAGGTGTTTGAAGTTAATCTTTCATGGCCTTCCTCCACACAAGTTGAAAAAGAACAACTTGAAAATTAGTTGGCTCAGAATTAGAGATGAAACTAAAAAAAAACAAAATAGTTAGGAGAGATATTTTCATAGAAAATATGATTTTAAATATGATAGGAAACTACATGTTAATATAAAAATCTTGAAGTCTAAAAGAAGGTTGAGTGATGCGAGAATACCTGCGCAAGGGGGATCAAGTGGGGCCACGATGGAGTCTTCTTCTTCTAAACCAGCTTAGTATGTTTCAAATGTATCTTGAACTTTGGCTTGATTATTATGAATTTTTTGGGTATGTTGGACACATCATTGGTACTAATATTAGGCAAGGGCAAACGACATCTTGAACACTCTCTCTGAGTTTTATTTTCCAAACCACTCTTTAGTGTGTTATAAAAATAGAACTTTATTTCAACAAATTGAACATCTCTATAAATATATATTTTTCTGATTGTGGGATCATAACATTTGTATCCATTCTAAAAAGAGGAGTATCCTAGAAAAATGCATCTATTGGAACGTTTATCAAGTTTATCATGGTTATTTCTAGCCACATGAACATAAGACACACATCCAAATATATGCAAATGGGACAAATCAATTTTTCTATTTTTCAAAACTTCAACGGGAGATCTATCCTTAAGATTTTTAATCGAAAATTTGTTAATTAGATAGCAAGCAATTAAAATAGCATTAAACCAATAAATTTTTGAAACATATATTTGAAACATCAAAAACCTTGTAGCTTCCAAAATACATCTATTTTTCCCTTCAACAACTTCGTTCTCCTGAGGTGTTCTAACACACAATGTTTGGTGTATAATACCAAGATTACATAAATGCTCAGAAAAAATTTTGTTCACATACTATGTGCCATTATCCATTCGTAAAATTCTAATCTTGCCATTACATTGGGTGGAAATCAGTTTAGAAAATTCTTTGAACATAGGAAAAACTTATGTTTTTTATTTCAATAAATATACCCAAGTAGCACGAGAGCACTCATCAATAAAAGTAACCAAATATTTAAAGCCAACATAATAATCAACTGGGGCCAATCTCTACTTTTCATAATGAATTAAATAAAATGGTTCATTTAAAAAGAAGTCTTGCTTGTTTTGAGAATTTACAAACTTCATAAAAATGATAGTTTAAAGATAGAGAGGACATTAAGATTTTTCAAAACTTTATCTGATGGGTGTCCAAATTTCTAATGCCATAATTTGTTAATATCATCGTTATTTTTACTAGCAATCAAAGCCTTATTCTTCTGATTGAATAAATATAGCCCATGAGACAATATTTCTACACCAATCTTCCTCTTCGTGGCCCAGTCTTGGAAAGTCACAGAGTTTGGAGAAAAATAACTTTGCAATTTATGATCTAATTAATTTTACTAACGAACAACAAGTTAGAAGAAAATGATGGCATAAAAAGAACTTCAGAGTTTTGTGACTTAGAGAAGAAATTGATCTTACCAACACCATAGACATGAATCAATGAACCATTAGCAATAGACACAAGGTTCATATTTTCATTATGTTTTAGGTTAGATAAACATTGTATGTTACTAGTCATATGATATGTGGCCCATCAGGCTATTACCTAAGTAAAAGTTTCATAGGAAGACATGAGAGTATGGGCATTACATGTATCCGAGACTAAAGAAGAATGATCATGTGTGGTGGAAAAACCATTGTTGTTACTTGATTGTTGATAATTATCACAGTTGTTGTGATGAGTTTGAGTGGTCGC